GGATATCGGGTGTGCCGCTGAACTGGGGGGTCCAGTACTGGGCACTCTCGCACGGGACTGAGCTGGCGTGGTATATGGCTATTGTATGAGTGTATGCTCCTGGATGAAAACGGTTCGGGGTTGAATGAGGGAGCACCCAAGTGGCTGGTCATAGACGGTTGGAATTGGTCCCTTGAGTTTGTCGGACTTCGTCCCTGAGCGGCGTGAACTTTCGACGGTACAGCTAGGAACCTAGAGTCAGGGGATAGATTCTGGCTTCGGCTAGGACTGTTGGTAGCATATCCAAATCCACTATTGAAGCTGTGTGGGCTCTGAGTGGATCTTTGGTTGGCTTGCACTAATGCTGGGCTGTAGTTGAGCGAGGACGCACTGCGGAGTGGATCAACCACCGACTGCGATATGTTCTTGGGTGAAGGCCCCCGGCTGCTACAGGCGTCTCCAAACGGACTGTGAACCCGTTCTCTCTCTGCACTGCGAGACCCAGCTGAACTGCCGTTGTGAGCGTTGTCTAACTGCCGTTGTGAGCGTTGTCTGGTAGTAGGTCGGATTGTGTTCGTTGGGAGGCCGCGCTATGTCCTCTAGAGCTTGCGTACTCATTTTCCAAGTCCCTAGTGGACCGATGAAGATATGCAACTGAGCATGGCATCATATCGATAGGTAGCAATGTCCGGGGTCGAGACGATATACTCCTGTTGTTAGAAGAGGATTTCGATAGACTCAAGGCAGGCGTAGTTCTCGAATCACTCATGGCACGGTCGATATTATGATATCGTCCTTGCTGTCCCTTTTCGCTCTCCTGCCCTTGTTTGGCTCTCCGTCTGCGCCTGCTGAGGAAGATGAAGAACAGTACAAGTGTAATGAGAGATGCCATGGCAATTCCGCCACCGACGTAGAGGCCGACTAGCTGGTTCGAGTGGCCTCCTGCGCCGGGATCGCCAGTAGCTGATGCCGACCCTGTTTCTGACGAGTAGACGAAGGTGAAGTCGATTGTGTTCGTCGGAATGCCTACACCTGGTATACCACTTCGGGTCACTGAAGTCATGGGTAAGGTTGTGATTTGCGGTAGAGACATTTGTGTCGATGTTGCCATCATGGACATGGTTGTATCTGATACTGGCGGAGGTGGTGCTGGTACTGGAGTTGGAGGAGTCGGATTTGGAGGAGCTGGAGCAGGCTCCTTGGGTGCCGCGGAGGTCATGGTTGGGGGTTGAGGAGTCATTGAACTTGGTTTAGGAGCGGCAGTTGAGGATATTCCTATCACAGGATGGGTATTTGGCAGGGCACCTTCAACTCCAGAGCATATAGCGTAGACTGCGTGCTGCTCTACTTCTGAGTTTGGGCAGTTCTCAGCAACGCAACGCAAGGCGGCTTCCGCAACAGTGTATCCCGTCGTTGACCTGGATTTGCAAAGACAGTTGACATCGAGAGGTTCTAAACATCCTTCCCAAGGTTTCTCTGATGATATGAAGGCCTCAAGACAGGGCAGAGCACACGCTGGTACATTTTTGCTGAGTAACTTTGGTGTTTGATTACGTGCCTGCACTTGCTTATACTTCCGGTCAAGGTCCAGTTCCAGGTTTTGGCCCAGGTTAAAGAAGGCTGAAGGTGATGATGACGATAACGACGAGCTCCTAGTCGTAGTGATGATGCTAGTAATTGTGGCTGCGGCGGCAGAGGCGGCGGATAGGAAAGTCAACAAACTGTTTGCTACCGGCACAGCAGGATAGCCTGGCATCTTAATGTGACCGCAGATGCAAACTCCAGAGATTCCGCTGCATAGTCATCCACGGCCCGCATAAACGTCCTATCAGCCCGGCGTATTTTGGGGGTTGTAGTTGGTAAGTTGTTGATTAACCCAAGAGGCTGATGGGAAAAAAAAATATATGGGTTGGCTTTTTGCTGCACCGGACCTAGCACTGATGCGATTACTCACACATTAATCAGTGCTGCGAGGTACTTCGTATATACCATATGTATTAATACTCTCCACGCGTCCAGAATCCCAGTTGAATTATGAAACGATTAAGAAAAAAAAGGGAGTAAAGAAAGTATGGTCCCTGTGGAGAAGATAGGTGGTATAAATAAAGGAAAGAGATATAGAATATTAGTATGTATATGGAAAAGAAAGAGAGATGTAGAGAGAGAACGAGAAGTAAGAAGTAAGAGTAAAACCCGGAAAGGAGAAGAGAAGAGAAGAAGAGCATTTGCAAGAGGGAGAAATGAGGCCAAGACGCCATCATATGAAGGCCATGGAGTGGTTTTCATACTAATTAACTTGCCTCATCGGAAACGGCCATGATACATGAACCACCCCCGGAAAGGCAAAACGAACGCGAGAGAGAAAAAAAGGCAGAAAAAGAAAATACGACAGAGAGGGTCAACCTCCGTCAAGAAGGAAGAGAGAGAGTGTGCGTGTCCCACACAGCCAACCAAGCAGGGATGCCCCGTAGGTGCAGCTGCAAGGGGCTGATAGAGTCAACCAGCCCGGGGCGGTTAACTCAAGTGGATGTCCAGGCGGCAGGTGGGCAACAGCAGCGCAAGCAAAAGAACGCAAGCAAGCCGGATAGTTGAATACTAACAAACTATCCCACCTTGCATGATCCGTACGGATCAGAGGAAAGACCATCTCTGTCCGCAAATCACCTGAAAAGGTTCAGCAGGCCTAGGCAAGCTCTGCTTTTCACATTCCACGGTACTGTGAAGAGAGCGAGAGAGCCGAAGCGGGAGGGCGAGAGCTCGCGAGACGGAGAGGGGGGGAGGGAGGACTACCCAAATTCTGCATGGGCAGAAAAGTAAACTCCGGTGCTAACTGGTGCAGTGGTGAAACCACTCTAAGAGGCCAGCGGAGACCGTGGATTGGATGAAAGCAGAACGAAGCTCCGACATGCTCTTGCTTGCTTGCTTGCTCCGTCGGCGTACCTTTTTCCTCTTCGCTGTCGTTGGTCGTTGGTTGTCTCGCTCTGGCTAGCTAAGCGCTGAAACGGCTCCATTTCGTGTTATTAAGGAGGTCGCTAGAGTCACGTGGTTGCGCGACAGCGCTGCTTTAAATTGAGACGAGCCCCCAGGCAAGACGACGCCGGCGGGCAGCCCAGAGAGGGAAGCCAGGAGGGAAATAAGGCCCCTGGCAATAGTAGTAGTCGTGGGAGAAGGGTGCGGTGCGTTATCGTTATCACACGAGCCTTGATGCTGGCGATGTCGTGCAGGAGTCAGGACGGAGAGGGTGGGCGGGCTGCAGGGTGGATGAACACTGGGCCGGGGCTTAGTCGAAATAAGGCGCGGGTGCGAGCTGAAGCGAACCAGAGGAGACAGACAGACAGAAGAAAAGGAGGAGATGAGGTGGGCGGCCTTGTCTCGATTTGCTGACTCGGGGCTGGGGTGCTAAAACAAACTGGC